TATGCTGAATTGAAATAGAATTTTTAATTGATACAAAAAATATCTCCATAAAAAAATTGATTATCTACATACGAATATGACCAACTTTTTTTTTAAACGAGTAAACTGACAAAATGGAAAAGAAAATGTATATATAACAAGCCCTAATCTGGTATTTATTGGTAGTAGGAAAATTTAGCCTCGCTTCTCTTCTCTTCTCTTCTAATCAAATTAAAAAGTCTTAGTGACACCTCATCCATTCACCGGTAATTCTTTGATGTTAATGGGTATTTATACTATTAGATTAGCAAGATGCTATTTTATATAATATCCAATTTAATTCAAGCTAAAGAATAAGTCCCCCCCCCCCCTTCCCTTCCATACTCTTGTATGGGAAAAAAATGACATTAACGCGCTTATGGAGTCTGATAGACCTTATTACAAATTTATATAGCTTGATTTCTATGTCCTTGCTCCAAATAAATAAGAATTAAATCAGTTCCTTTTCTTCCCTTTATCCAGGATTAAATCGAGTAAGATCATCCTAGCAATCCTATCCAAATTGATCCGTGATTTATTAAATATTATTGCGAAGAAACAGCATCCTTAGAAAGGGTTATGGTTTTGATAATGATAAAAAGAATAACAAATTAATTTTAAATAATAGTTATTCTGGAATCTTCTTTGGCAATATATTAACGAAAAACATGTATTTTTTTTATATATTAAATATCTTGATTCTTAGACTCTTTTATCCCTTTTAATTTAAGTCAAAACAAGTATTTAAAAAAAACATTATGAATCACATTCATTAAAAGATGCATTCATCGATGAAGAACAGCTGGGGATGCCAGAATACTATCAAATAACAATTTAGAAAGACTTTAAACAATAAAAAAAATGCTTAACATCACGAGTATTGTCAACCATTTTCTTGAACCTTCCTGAATTACTTTAGTTCTCTCATTATCTAAATGTCGATTAGAATATATTTCGCGGGGTTTCTACTTGGTGCACTGATAGCGCATTGTCATTCAGGATATACGGGAGATTTCAAATATGGTAACGGATATAATAAACTTTCTATATTGACGTTAATTTTACACTATTATGTTTTTTTTTAAAATAAGATCGGTGCAGTCATGACTGCCCCCCATGCCCTCGTGGCTATATAAAGGGTTGCGATGACTGTTTATGCAAAGGTAAAATACTATTGTATCTTTAACTATGGATCATAAATATGGGGTTTAAAAAATACAAAATTGAATAAAGTCCCGTTCTAGTTCGCTTCTTTAAGTCCGCGTTTAAAACACCACGTTCAGTTGTAAGAGCGGCGTTATAGAAAACGAACTAGGTACAAGTGCATACCATTTAGATAGCGTAATGTTATTTAAACGAGAGCTCATATTGAATGGGAATTTTATATTCCTAGAGAATATATTAATATATTTAGTGTATTTTATTGTTAGGAACTTAATTATTTAATGTATAATAATTAATTAAATAGTTTTCTCGTTTAATACCTGCTCAATAATAAAAAATTTAAACCGCTCAATTATTCTAAAACACTTTTATTTTCCATTTCTAATGTAAAAGTTTGCCCAAACATAACATCGTGTCATCTGGATTGCAAGCATAGCTGGGTATTCAAGGATGATTGCACCGGTTGTTTGTGTAGAAGTAAAACACTACTTATTATATGTATATATCTTTTTTAAAATAGTTTAAGGTTCCGTTTATAGTGTAAACGCGAACGAGATGACGATCAACTGATGCATAATTTACAAAACGCCTATGCTATCGTTTTAGACCCTAATTAAGCATCCCTTGAGTGATTGCGCGTTTTTTGTTTTACGCTCACGATAAATGAGGTCTCAATAATAGAGTTTTGCTGGAACCAGAAACAGAACCAACAATTAGAATTTGCCAAACTTTTTTTAAAAAGATTTGTAAGAACTCGAACCCGGAACTCATTTTTAAAATCTCCAGCAAAAATTCTATTGTTCAAATAATTATTCACATTTTAGGGATTTTTTTTCATTGCTTCAACAGAGTTCTGAAGCAGTTCCTGTACCAGGAAACTGCTTCAAATATGTGTGAACTATCTTTCCTTTCTATCTCAAGTAAACTAAATCCCTTTCTTGAGAAACCTGAGGCGTAAATGCAATTTTATGAAAAATATTCAGAACCGGTACCCAGAACCCAGAAATCTTTTTTTTTTAAAGCTCAGGTTTTTATTGATTAGTTTTTGATTATCGGGATTATTTATTTTCTATCATAAAAGGATGCGCATTTATTCTAGGATGCAAATTTGGCAAAATTATCGACGAATATGGTTGCCTCATAAGATGCAAGTACGAAAATCAATAGCATTTTTTTTTTGATAAATCCATATCAACAGCTGATTTACTATTCTTAGACTATAATGTAGAAAAATGCAAGTATCCCATTTTTTTGATAGACAGTGAATATCTTAATACATTATAACTTTAGAAACAATAAATCAGCTGTTGAGCTAGCTAGCCTATTTCATGTTGTTCAGAATTTTTCTTAAATTTGTTGAGTATAAGGATTGACTATTATTTTTTTAAAAAAAATAGTCTGAGTTTGTAGAATTGACAGGTGTCATTTTTATGTATTACTTACAATCATAATAATTTTATTTTAAGTAATTTCTAAAGAGAAAATTGTAAGATTACATATCAGGGTTTAACATCTGTTCAAAATTCAAAAATCTTCAAACCTCGCTCTTTTGGAGATCACAGAATGGGAAGAATTTTTGCTCAAAGTTTTTGTACTTGAAACTAAAATCTTCAAATACAAACATGCGGCAAAAATTTTTTTTTGCTAAACAACGCATTTGAATTAATCATAACAATTAACCTCAATTTTTTAATATCTAGATTATTGCAGTTAATAATGTCGCCTACGAGCCCATATTCATTTCTTTATTTTACTTGATATTAGAAGTGGAGTGCACCCACTAGCCTAAGTAAAATCTCATTGAAATAAGTGGGGGTTTGTGACGCATTCTTGGAGGGGGGTGGGGGTGTAGAAGTGGCAGGGACAGTTTTTTAGAAGGGTCATAATTTTAATTTCATAAAAAGTACTTTTTTCGAAATAATTTTACAAACTTATTTTTCATTATTGTCATATCTCTCATGCCTGGAAATGTCAATCAAAAATATATTCATTCATGGTGAACCATTATTAAACACGAAAATAAATTTATTTTAAATTTTGTGCAATATAAATAAAAAAAATATTAACCTACTTTTATGAAATTCGTTTATCATTCAAAAAAAAGTGTGTGTGGGTGGGGGGGGGGGGAGTATCATGGGGTGGGATTTTTAAAAATAATTATAAATGAGTTCTTCTGGAGTGTGGGGAACATTGGCTAGAGTATAAACAATATAGTTAAAGTAACCAAATGAAGACTAATGCCCTGACACATACCAAGCGCTCAGACTTCCTCGATATATTTAGAAATCTCTTATTTACTTTTCTGAGAAAATGCGAAGTGCCAACTCAAAAATAATCACCACTATAAAGGGCAAACTATATAAATGTATAGTCGATATGCCATATCCTGCTTAAAAACGGCCCGCATTCCTTCAGCCCTTGAGCCCAATTACAGAGATGGCAAACTCCCAGATGGATCAACCATTCCATGGAAGAAAGATAGGTTACTAAGTTAATATTTTTCCTGCATCTATCCTATTGCATCATTCAAAGTAAATCATGACGCTTTCGTGGATGCTGAGCTAAGCATACTCGCCACATACTCTCCGAAATTACCTGTTAACTTCATACCATAGTTCGATATCACTAGTATTGACTCGGGCAACGGATTGATACTAGGATAAAGGATCTTAATATAAAAGATACTGCATCCTACAGAGATTAGCCACCAACATCTTTAGATAATTGTATCCTATACTCATTTGATAGGTTCCCCGAGCAAGCACCTTGATAGATTTTCCATTTCATGGTATATCAATAGATATGATGGTTTTTAGGGCTCTGCCTAGATGCTTCCATGTTGTCATTTACTTCTCTTGTATTTCATGGACATTCATAAATTTAAAAGTTCGCTAAAACCTAATTTTTATCTCTCTGGGGGGTAATCAGTTTCGTTATATTAAATAATATATATAATCAAATGGTTGTTTTGCAATTTAAAAAAAAAAATTAGTGATTTTGAACGTCAGCTATATTTTTTGTCATTATTGGATAGATGTACACAAATCATATTGTGAATGTTGTTGAATCCTGATTATTTAATTATATTTAATTTTATTTTTTTGAATATTTAGGGATCAACGTATGAATACCCTTAGACCGAATGCATTGCAAGATCTGTATAAAAAAAAAATTGTAATATCATAAGATATTGAAATATAATATTGATAAAATATCTAAGATTGTAACTGTTTGTTTGCTAAATTTCAGCAAAATAAATATAATCAAAATGATTGGTTAAAAGTTAGAATTCTAAATGATAAACTTAAATGGTCTTAAATTTGTTTACACTCTTAGTGTCCTCCTTTTAGAAACAAAGGAATTACTTAACCCAGATATATCGATTATATATATAACTATTTTTTTCAACCAATAACACTAAAACGCAGGAATTAACTTTACAACTCTATCTTACTTTATAAAATCTTATTTTTTTTATCGGAAACATTTAAAATTGTAAAAAATTATTGTGAATTTTATAATACATATTATATAATTCAAATCAAAACATGTTTAAAATAATATTATAAATTTATATGATAATTGTTAATACATTAAATTTATATATGTTGGCGGCAATTTGTTATTTCCCAACTGAATCATTTTTTTTGAGCGCGTTTTTTTAATTTTCAAAAATCTGAATTTTTTTTTCCGGAAATATATTCAGCATACCCAGAATACCTATCTTATAAAATCTATAGAAACGAATATAAATTAAATCAAGTTGAAAAGTTCAAGGCTAAATTGTCTGAAATACATAGTAGTTAGGTATTCCAAACATGACGGAGTACACTTCTGATAAAAACAAATTATTAACAATGTTAGGTTGGCTCCTTGGAACAGCGGCTTCCGATGAAGCTGATGTAATTAGAATTTGTATATGAAGGTAGAAGGCCTAAAGTCTGAGTAAGAAACCTTCTTCGTCAGTAATTTTACGGATATGTGATCCTAGCTCTTTGGAGAATGGTTAAAACACAGCCAACAAATACAGCTAGTAGAGGAGATTATTGGTATAAAAAAATATATTTATTTATTTCAGACAGCTCTCAAAGATGTTTATGTTAAATAAAGTTATTTATATTTGAAAAACCAATTTAATAAGGTACTATATAAAGAATTGTATTATGAAGAAGTCATTAATAAAAAACTATTATAAAAGAAAAATTGGAAAGTTAACGATTGGCTCATTCTTGGGAGGGTGGCTTCCTTGGAAGCTAATTCCAATTGGATTTGGGTATGACTATCGCAAGTCTTTGCCAGAGATAGAATCCTTCCAAGGTTTATCCGTAAATCTACGGATATGTGAACCTTGTTCTTTAAGAAAGATCTTACTATGTTACAATATGTGGCTAAAGTAGTGGAAATGAATGGTATAAAAATGTGATCGTTGAATATTTCTGAATATTTAGCCATTTATAACTTCTATTATACAATATGTTGGAGGTTAGATTAGAAGGGGCTAAAGGACCATTGCAGGAGTAGTTCCATGTCAGTTAAATAATTATATGAGATATTGGTAATGCCATCAGAACTTTTCCGTAAGATCTAAGAGACAAGATGGTTTTAAGGAAGATTGAATCTGCGCAGATTTTAAGCACGCTGTATAATGGCATTGAATTAATTGTGTCTAAGATTGCAAGAAAGGCAGTGAAAGTTGTGTAATCCATTCATACGAGTAAACTACAGCTAGAGCAATTGAGACTGATACCAATGATATGTGTTAGCCTATTTGTAAGTTTTAACTAAGGGTTTGTAGAAGGAATAGCTTGAAGGAAATTGTGTCCATGAACAGTTTAACATTGAAGAAAAAAGGGACGATCCAGAGGATACATACTTAACAATAGAATTTTCCAGAGTGGAGTCTAATTATTTAAATTTGCAGGTGGCCTAAATAAATCTAGTCCAGACCTAATTTTTTATTTATTTAACCCAGGTTGGGCTGAAGACATTATTTGCCAAATATTTTAAAACTTAATTATTATGATATATAAATTGTATCAAAAAATGATAGATCACCACATTCATTCACTTTCACTATAGATAAATAAAATATAATAAATTTTTAATTATAGTAAAAAAAAAATTATATAAATTATAAGAAGTAGTTGTTATAATCAATTATGCAATTCTCTATATGGATTATTAAATTTTTTATAAATTATTACAAAATCACTATACAACCAGTTACTTCATTTTAAAACACCTTACCTAAAAAAAATTTTTATACAATGCAACCTGGATCAAGCCTGAAAATATAAAAAATATTTAAATAATCTGGGCTGGGCCAAAAAATTTTTTTACACACCCAAGCTAGGCTAGGCAATTGATACTTCTGCAGGTCTCTCTAAGTATAAAAATTATAGCTAAAATTTTATTTATATAAGATAAGGATTAAGTGAGTTCAAAGACCAAAAGGTTATTTTAAAAAGAACTATTCATTTAGGTAATATGAAATTTAATTTCAAATAAATTTTTATTAAATTGTTCCTAATATATAATAAGAAATATATTTAAAAAAATAACATGATTGGGTTCCTAAAAAGAAGCAACAGCTAATTTTAAAATGTTTATTTGTTATGTTTTGCCTAAGGAATAAGAATTCTTTAAATTAAACAGAATTTTATTTTGTAAGCTTAAAAAAGGTAATGGTGATGGTGGCAAACTGTTCTTTGGTAGAAGTTCCAATTGGTAGCAATATGAAATTGCTGAAGGCATATGTTTGACAATTATTTTTCTCCGCTAAGAGACTGCTATTTATATAGGTGGGGAAGCTTGAATCCCAAATAAGGGATTTGTTGTCAGGCCATCATCGGTAGAAAGACTACAAGGTTCTAGAATATTATAAGAGCATTTTTAAAAGGAGGCTTAATAATTTATTTATTGATGAGTGTCGTTGATGTCGAATTAGACTTTTAATGCAATTAAAGCCCTACCTTCCCTTGGCATTTACTAGGAAGTTGCAGTTCATGCAATGCTGAGGCTGAATGAAGTCACATCCAGGTTTATATACTAAGGTTTAGAAGATAAAATTATTTAATTATGTAACACCAATACTGTTTGTTAATTATAATATGCTGTTTAATGTTATATTATTATAAATATAATTGATTATCCAGGAACATTTTAAATTTAACTATAGAAACCTAAGATTTTATAGTAATCTATATATAATTTTTTTTAAATGTTACAAACATTTATATTGAGTTTTCTTTTTCCCTATCAATGTAAACAACTCTGCAACTTATTATTTTTTTTACTAGAAATATTTCCTTCTATCTTTTATCATTTACTAATAAGTTCAAAATTATATAATTTCATTATTAGGCTAAAATTTTATTATCTCATATGATTTACAGTTTAAAAAATTCACTATATTTCATATAAATTTTCATTATCTATAATTTCCAAATATCCTTGATTTATTTATTGGATTGTTGATTCATCATTAGCTCATGTTGTTGTAATTGGTATTCTTGAAACCTGAGCGAAATTCTCTGAGTTGTTTTTAAATATTTTTCTAAACAATTATTTGTACAAGTCGTCTAAAAATCTATATTTATTAATGCATGATCACATTGAAAGAACTTCTTTTTTTTTTTTTTTTTTTTTTTTTTTTTCATATATACAATCCATAAAGCAGGATTGTGATATCTTATTGTAAGATAATAGGAATTCTTTAAACTAATTAACAATAATATAATTTATTTACAAAATAATGTTTACTTGACTTGATTCGGCATTTGAATTTGCCATCCTGTAACTTGGATGGAATTTAATTGAAAGAGTTATATTTTAGGTAGAAAAAGTGAATCAATTGGGTATATTTAAAATTATATCGCATATAGAAAAGGATTTAGGATGGTTTCTATTATATATATATATATTTTAATTCTAATGCTTTAGTGTCTTACGGCAATTTCAAAAATATCATTGACACGATTTATATTTTTATTTAATTTTTGCTTAACTAAAATTCTGCTTACATCATTGTTTAAATTACGCTTTATTTTAGTTTTGGGTAACTTTAAAATGATTGAATACTAACTTATTGATTTATTAAAATATATTTAAATTGTTCAAAGGGGGATCATACGAAAAAGTGATATATTTTGTAACATTATTTAATAAAGAATTTAAATACATCATTCTCCAACTACATTCTCTTTCTAATAGCAGTTTGTTCTAAAAAAAATATCTAGAATATTGGTCCAGAAAAACAAATAAGGTGTGGTATTAAATTTAAAAAAAAAGGAATGGTATTTTAATCGCAACCTAATTATGATTGACTGAAATTTTTTGAATCAAATATAATAGAAATTTGCAGGAAGGAAAGTGTAAAGTGTACCAATGATCAATAGTAAATAAAGATTAAAATTATTATTAATTTGCCTAAAAAATCAAATCTATAAATCATTTACTTTCGCAAAACAATAATATATAAAATACAACTGTTATTCACACTAATAAAGATAGAAAAAACTTAAGATAGTTATATATTATATAAGTAAAATGCTAAAAGCTTGATTTGAACATTAGGTAAAGAAATTTTAGAAACAGAAACTTCTATATAACACGCTCCTTATGTTTTAACCGTTTAGAATCATTACCTACACTATTCTTACTCAATTCACTTGATCTAAT